ATGTCCCAGGATGGACACGTTATAAACCACATCATGTCCCAGGATGGGCACTTTATAAATCTCCACATGTCCCAGGATGGACATGTTTTAAAGCACATCATGTCCCAGGATGGACACTTTATAAATCACAACATGTCCCAGGATGGACACTTTATAAACCCCATCATGTCCCAGGATGGACATGTTTTAAACCCCATCATGTCCCAGAATGGACATGTTATAAACCCCATCATGATTCCGGACACAGCCTCCACAGACGATGACGACAGCATCAATGCTGCATAGGCTGGACGAAAGAGTTCTCTGTTTTAAAATATGAATGAGGCGTCTGTGATTGGAAGGTTACCAGTTCAATTACCCGGACTGACATCACCAAAATGTTGGTAGGAAAGGTGAAGTTCCCACACCTGCATTACCCCACTCTGGGCCCTCGAGCAAGGCCCTTGACCCCCACCATCTGCTCCCCCGGATGCCCTATATGGCAGCTCTCTGCTCCACACTGTGGCTGTGGTAGCTCGGTGGTCTGTGGTTGTGTCAGGAAGAACATCCAGTGTTAAAACAATCACCAAGTCTTCGTGTGAGTTAGTTCACTGTGGTGATCCCTGAAGAAGGGAGCGGCCAGAAGAAAAATAAAAAATCCATACCAGCTAGACTTAACCAGTTATCCTGAGAAAGGATTTATTAGTTTGGACATAAAGGGACAACCTCTGTCTTTTCCTGTCCACCTTGTTTTTTCCTGTCCACTGTGTAACTGCAGATGAATTTGGTAAATGGTATGTTTAGAGGCGTTAGAGGAAGTGCTCTTATTATCACAAGTACGCCTAAAGCTCCCCGCAAAAAGCCGTTACTCAACCTATTTCAGAACAACACTGGTGTCCTGATGTCCATCTTTGTTGGGTATTTACAGGCCTTACTGTAAAGAACTGTTCTCTGTCAAAAAACCGAGGAACAGATAACTGTCATCAGGCAGTCTGGCCCATGAGCCCTTGTTTTATTTTCTTAATAGAGTCATGAAGTGCATTTGTCACAGATGGTTTGGAGATAATTGTAGTTCTGCTGCTGCCTGCTTGTGTCTAAGATTTTGCCTGTTTGACTGTGCAACCTTGGTATTTGCATGCCGGGCTGGCCCTTATGTTTAACTCACTTGTTTTGTTTGTTGCGCTGCAACAGAATTATGTGCCATGCAAAGATGGGACATGCAAGACAAAGCCTAAATTAGTGTAAATGGGACTTTATTTGAATTTGAAAGTTAGCAACTCAAATTTTTTCTAGTTAACTAGATTTGATGACGACTCTGCATTGCTGCAGGAAGCAGCCTGAGGAACGGGAGGAGTCATATCTGTTTTGTTTTTAAGGCCAGATCTTTTATGTCAGGTACTTGACAGGACAAATATGATAGATTTTCAACCAAGCTGATATAACTTCCTGAATCTTATTAACATAAAAAAGAGACAACGTCAGCAGCTCTCTTTTTAATGTTGCTCAAAGCAGCAGGTTATAGTGGGTGGAGCCACACAACTTGACCCCACCCACCTCTTCAACAAGACATGCCTCCTTTTAAGACTGTTAGTAGCTTTGGGTTTTCATGTACTTATACATTTAAACACATTTACCCACATGCAGAGAAACACAAGAACAAGTATAAACATGAATAAATGGATACATAGATCCTGGTCCAGTTGGACACATAGATAATGGTCCCATTGGACATATAGAGCATGATCCAGTTGGACATATAGATCACGGTCCAGTTGGACACATAGAGCATCGTCCAGTTGGACACATAGATCATGGTCCAGTTGTATGCATAGAGCTTTGTGCAGTTGGACACATAGAGCATGGTCCTGTTGGACACATAAAATATGATCAAGTTGGATGTATAGAGCATGGTCCAGTTGGGCACATAGATCATGGTCCAGTTGGACATTAAGAGTATGGTCCAGTTGGACACATAGCGCATGGCCCAGTTGGACACATAGAGCATGGTCCAGTTGGACATACAGATCATGGTCCAATTGGACACAAAGGCCATGGTCCAGTTAGACAGATAGAGCATGGTCCAATTGGACACATAG